CCTACATCCCGAGAGGCTTTATGACACTCGCGTCACCGTTCTACTCCGTCCTAGTGTCACGGCTAATTGTGTAATCCGATAATCTTGCATTTATCGATGCCGACAGCGTAGCGAGGCGCCTGTTAGCGTACAGACGTCTTTCTGCTGCACCGGCGCCCAACGCCATTGACGTTTGACGTACGCAACGGGCGGTCACGTCACGCGCGTTGTGAATTATTCAGGAGCTCACGATGCGCCATAGCCACCGCTTGACACAATGGTCGAGCGTTTGTTTGGCTCGTATACTTCGGCGTGCGAGGCGAAACCAACATAATACGTACACTTTGTACCTACACCCGCGCTAGAGGGTGGTTCTCCCCGATCCCAGCCACCGAATAGTTAAACATAGTCAACGGCCATCGGTGCCATGGTTCGTACCGAACCTTAATGATTATTAATGAAGTTTTTATAGTCTAAGCTGAAATCAATTACGGAACCGGCCAAGTGCGTTTCGGCCTCGCGCGCGAAGGGTTCCGTACTTTAAAATGACGAAAAAATTGTGTCTGTTGTATGGGAGCTCCACTTAAATATTTTTTATTCAGTTTTTTATTGTTGCTATACCGGCAACAGAAATACACCTTCTGTGAAAATTATATTTATCTAGTTTTTGTGTCCACACGATCATTTAATGCGCTTGCATTAAATGAAGTTTTGCTTTATTATAACACGCAGAGCTTTTTAAACAATATTAATTGTTTCGCTTTCATTCCTAACAACAGTATACTTATTATTTTAAATAAGTTTCTCGAATAATACATTTATGCCCTAGTAATTACTGTTCAAACGTTCCATAAGAAACGCAAAATCAAAATGCAATTCGTAACGCACGCTTGAGTGGTAAACATGCCATCGACGTCGCGTCGGTTCGGGCTGGACGTCAGCGAGCCAAGCGCAGGGCTGTCACTCATATCGTAATATGTTTGTTTACGAAATACATAGAATATGTAAATAAAAAAAATATAAATAATACTAACCAGCTCTGAGTTGTATGTATTGTTTCAAGTATTATCTTATTGCAGAAATACTTTTGAAACCTATTAATCTTGTACAGAAAAGACCGAAAAATACAGAAAGAAGAAAGAAATCTATTTAATACTAGCGCCCCGAACCGGCTTCGCATGAGTGCAATGTATTATACACATAAACCTTCCTCTTGAATCACTCTATCTAGTAAAAAAAACCGCATCAAGATCCGTTGCGTAGTTTTAAAGATCTAAGCATACATAGGGACAGACAGACAGCGGGACGACTTTGCTTTACACTATGTAGTGATGCACAGCAAAGAGACGTTTACATTTCAAGGGAAATTTTACCACAGACAATTTACATTTCACCATAGACAATTTGTTTTTAAATAATGTCACCATTGTATAAATATTGACAATACGATACTAACTAACATCACTTAATTGTTTTGCTTTCCCGGAACCCCTCCACTAACACTTAAACTTTATGGTATGGTATTAACGTTCAAATTGACCTTTATGAATTATTACGAATCTTTTGTACGGGAATATAGAAGTGTTGTATTAAGACTTTTTCAGGCAATTTTTAAATTTTTCTCTCCCTAAGAACCATGCTAGTACTTCAAGGAATACTATAAAAAAAGAATTAGTGAAATCGGTTCAGCTTTTCTTGAGATTTGCGCTTAGCAACACATTCAGCGATTCATTTTTATATATATAGACTCCCGACGATTCGCGAATATTTTAAAGACCTGACCAAACGGTTCTTCGATAGAGCCGAACATCACCCCAACCCTCTGGTGGTAAGCGCAGCAAATTACCAACCCGACACAAACGCGAACGTCAACAAACGTCGCCCGCGAAATGTCCTAATCGACCCGGTCGAGGAAGGGGACTTAGACACGCCGGACCCACCGCCGGGGGTCCCGCCGGACAACACTACACCAACAGTTAGTGCAACAACAAACACCCTAGTTCGCCCTCGCCTCCGAGCACGGCGAGACCAACACAACGCGTACACAAGGTACATCCGCGTTCCGGGGCGGTTCTCACCGCCCCCAGCCACCGATTAGCTAATTGCACAGTCGACGGCCATCGGGGTTTCGGTCCGAACCACGACCTCGATGGCCCTTAGATGACGTACCATAGTTAAACGCACGCATGAGCACATGCGTGGCCCTACCCACAGCGGAGGGCCCAAACCCGTGGGTTCTGGCTAGCCCACCGGTTCTGCGTCAGATGAAGCTTTAATAGTCTCGGGACTGAAAGCAAAAACATCAGTTAATACAAGATACAAGATATATATAGAGATAGAGATTGATCATTCTCCAAATTCGAGATTTTTTTTTTATTTTAAGTCTCATGAATCATTTAAAGGTCCTATAAAATAAATTGCAAAATCTATACCGAATAGATGGTTCAAAAAACTAGTTTTCAGAATAACATATTTTTTTTAATAAAACTGCGTGTATGTACCGTATGGAATATTATTTTAATATGTTGCGGTGAGCTATATTTCAATTGCGGCATTCGTGTGCCCATAGTTATTATATTCGCAAATCACCAATTTTTATATGTAATGAGTTAATACTTCTTTAAATGTGTCTATATAAAGAGAATGATAGAGGTCTGTGGCGCTGTGCGCGTAACACAAAAAATGCTGGATGTATTTCAATTAGTTCTTCTAAGTTATATTTCTTAAATAGGTATTTAAGAAGTTAGAAGAACAATCTAACTTAGAATTCTAAAAATACATTTTAAGGACCATTGCTAGACTAAAAATTTATCAAGTTTCGACAACCCTACACTTAAAGAGTTTCCAACGGAATTCGTACGTGACATTGACTTACGCAATGGCTTAATTGGCGGGAGCATTGCCCCTTATGTTGGGTTAACGGGTCACCGAATTGGGTACAGGCAATCGATGTAGCCGGCTCATGTGTCACGCCCTTGGTGTACATCGATTTATTTTCTTACCGCACACTGTAAGACTATTCGTTGTTTCGTTTTAATGCCCAGGGGAAGTCCCTCGAGTTTCGAACTTGTTCTATGCATAATAATTATGTAATCTCGATGTGTGTGTGGGATGTTTCATATGTTAAACGAAGCTTTGGCATTGCATGACATAAGCAAGAGGTCCGTTGTGTAAAAAATTTAAATTACATACTTAATTACAAGTATAATTCGAGGAAGCCAGTCAATCTTTATAAAGAGCCCAATTCCCAGAATTCGAATTTTCGTCCAATAGTAAGTGGAGGCGGTGGAGCTCAGCTAAAAGACTATCCTTTAATAGTGTTTTCAAAACATATATAATTATGTATTAAATTTTTTACAAACAACTGAGATGAAGCTAAAGTTATTTGTAGGTAATAAGAAGGGACTAAAGTGTAGATTAAATGATAAAGATGGAAAATAAATGATGAGGTGGTTTTAACTTCTAGAACGATTGAATTAGCTGATTATTTCATTTACAATTCTGAAATTCGAATACGTCTGCTCTGTCAAGAGCGTCTGAGATGAGAAGAGAAGGAGAAAATGTACGAGAGATAAATCCCAGAAAGTTTTTCATATGATTCTAAGAAAGCTTTAATATGTAGTGATAGATTAAAAGGGAATGTCTACGTACATATTTTTCTAATTAAATAATAGACTTGCGCTTTGATATGTAGTGTTTAGTTCTTGTGAGTTGTATGCATGCACAAATCAGTACCCTCCGACTCCTGATTGACTGATTCGACGATTGCGATGAATAAGCACTCATTTCTATATCTCCTTCCCTCCACTTCTCCTTTCTTTCTTTGGGTGTTTTATTGTAAAAAACGCCTGTCCAATATGTATGTTTAAAGTTCTCGAGATGCATTAAAGAAATTAGCACGTAACGCTTCAAATACTGTGCCGCAATATTATGTGCACTCAATTTACCTTTCTGTTTGTTTCCCGGTTGTTTGATTGAACTTCATTAAAGTTTTATTCATATCACGCGGTTAGTTTTGAACCAATTAATAGTTTAACAAGTACAAGAAAGTACATGGGTGATTAAAAGTCGACATTGGTTTTTTACTATACTTACTTTGTTAGTTGCACTAGGTGCTTTTGCATTCACCCGGAAGGAGGCCGCGGAGAGGGAAAGAGAGGACTGCCACCCTGGAAATCCGCCGCCGAAGACCAGGGCGCAGCAGGCTGACATACGCGCGCAACCTTCCCCCCCTGATAGCAAGCCCCGGGGCGGCAGATGTGGGACTAACTGCTGCCCCGCGGAGGGCTTGAGAGGGGTGCCGTGTTCATTGCACTGACACGGTACCATTTGGCTGGACCGTGTGCCCAAATACCCGGGGAGAGGAGGCCTGAGAAGGCCACAGTCGCGCCGAGATTCGCGGAAGATTGCGTTTTCGTGTTCCCGTGTCCCCGGCAAAAGCGACAGCGCAGCGATAAAATCAGTAACATTTCACAATGTATAATATTCGCGAAAAATTAAGAAATCAATTCAATCAATCGAATAATTCAACCAAATGTTTCGGCGTCGATGCCAGCCAACTTACTGCAGACACTTGCGCCAATCGGCCAACAATCACTAATCAGCATGGATGAAAATCTCACTTAAGAGGGGACAAAAGGACGTGGAAATTTCTTTTAGTAACTTGATAATTATATCGCCCCCTTGGCTAAGATAACATTATAAAATATTGCAATAATACAAACTCTCGAGTTCAGTCAGATATTTGACTATTTACTGACGGATTACCAAGGCCAAAAAGGAATGTGATGTGTGTGTAACGGCTGAATCTAATTTGATTAATTATATGTCGTTAGATTGGTATCTCTGCTCTTTGAGCTGTGCGTTCTATAAAGCTTTAATAGTCTACTGATTGTAAGCGTAAACATTCTGAAATGAATACAAAACTAGGAAAGTCTAACCTTACTGCGGTTTTCTTAAGTAATTTCGTTGGTCACTTTTCTCCTTATCTCTTTTAATTTATTCCTACCGACTAAAACCCCATGTTACTCATCTTTAGTCCTGAAGAGGGGGCACGGGATCTCCTAAAGGAACGCAACTACACCCAGCGTGCCGCACCCGACGCAAGAGTGACGTCACGCCAAGGTGGACTCGTGCTAGCGATGGCTATGACGTCACCGCGGAGGAGGTCGCTGCAGTGTGCATGCGTTGCGTGCCGCACGCTCGCCGCACTTCCGTCTAGATCGTAACTCGCAAGGCCGTGTTCCTTTTTTGTCTTCAACGATCTTAAAGCAGCTTGGAGTTAATTATAACGAGAATTGTAAATTTATCGTTCAATGAACGCCAAGGTCTTATAGGTATGGCATGCGTTCGAAATAGAAGGATTTAAACATTTTACTTGTTAGTATTTGTAGTGTTAGTAGTTCTTTCTTGGTATATAAAGCCTAAGGTAATTCCAACTTCGTTTCAATTCAGAATGTTTGCATGGTATATATATAAAGTATTGTTAAAATAATAGCGTAAATTAATGTAACAATTATTTGAATTACCGGTTCTTGAGTACTAAATACCTTATAACCTTCTTTTTCTTGTTTACGTGGGGGAAATGCCTACGCATACAGAGTGGGCTCAAAGAGCCCACTCGGAGCGGTCCTCTCGGGCCGGCCTTAAACCACAGGCCGGCCCAGTGTGGGTTTCTCTTAGCTTCGCCGTGGGTGACCAAGCCACAGCTATTAAGCCCCTCCGCCACTTCAAGGCGGGAACCCGGTCGGAGGGGAAATACCTTATAACCTAAACGTATAAGATAAAAGTTATATCCTTATTCTAAGTTTCGTGGTTACACGTATTTATTCATTATTTTTTGTCAACTTCGGCTTTGACAAGTTGTTGTTTTGAAAGTAACAGACTTAAATAATCTCAAAATTAAGTATGTATTATACAAATTCTATGGCGAAAACAAAACTAAATCTGGACTTGTTAAAACGTTACTTTAGATTTTTTTTTAACATTATTACTTTAAGGAATAATAAACAAGATAATTGTAAATAAATTATTTACTCCAGTTACAATGCCTTCTTGTAATGATTTATTTTAATCGATATAATCCAATTTATTATATTTCTTAATTAATAACACACTTTATTTTTTGCATTTATCCAAACGCATGAAGAAGAAATAACGAATAAAGATAAATCTACATATATATAGATGACGAACACGGTACAGATTCATATAGCTAGTATTAATAGTTTGTTAATTATAACGTAGTTCCTGATTCAATTTGCGCAGCACAAATTTCATTAAGCAGTATTTCCGAACGTGAGTGGCCAACGCAACCATACGGTGGCTTATTGGTTTTCCCCCGTAAAAGCCTCCCGACATTGATGCTAGGGAAATGTAATTACGTTCACCGGCAAGAATACGCCTCCGATTCACCGGGGAAATGTAGTGATGGTTCTTTATTAGCTTTGAAAAGCGCTCCGTGCTGCCTTATCACAACGTTAAAATGTAAATAAAATTTCATTAGGTTCTCCCAAGTAGCCTCCAGGGTCCGCTACTATTAATGCGCATTTTGTATTAATGTGCTTTATTCTGTTATTTTAGACATAGAATCGTATTAGTTATAGCTTATTGAATGTAAAAACGACTAGGTTAATGAATTACTATCTGGTTTGTTGTCAGGACATAACCAAGAACCCATAAAACGGGCTTGTTATTATAGAAAACTATATCTCACAATATTTTTGTTTATTTGATAAATGTTTATGTGCTCATGCTAATACTCATACTAAGAACATGTATTGTGTTTAGTAGGGGGTTTATCCTTTAATTGGAACTTTCTAGACGATTGCTGCGCCTCAACCAAGCTTGCCGACGTGACCGCTTTAGCGAAGTTAAATCGACTCGGCATTATCATAAGCCCCTCAAGCGTAATACATCTAGCATTAACCTCGCCGACAGGTACGGCTAATCTCCATCGGCTGGATCCACGCGGAGTTGTTAATACCTCACTTTTGTTACCAAGGGTATATTCGATCGACTGTTCCGAAGGCTTTGTGTAGGAAAAGTTAGGTACCTGGAAGCTGGAGTTGAGTTGTCCTTCGATATCCCAGTTTGAAACGGCGGTCACTGGTCTTTTCCCACAACACTTTGCTATTAATTTGGAGTTTAATAAACTAGCGTGTTCACCACAGCGCTGTGGTGACTGAAGTTTTTATTCGTGCGGTGCGAGCGTTGAGAAAGAGAGTTCAATCTTCATTTCTTCGTGCTTTTATAGGAAGCGGAAGGGGCGGGATATGGGCGGATGTGCATATTATTGCCAGTAATGAGTGATGTGTGCGTTATAATGAAATTAAACATACATGTGAAACGATAAATATTTATATAATTTTATAAATTATTATTTTTAAATAAAATGGCGTAGACACTTTGTATAAACATTATTAGACCCGCCGCCTTGCGGAATGGATATCTTAAGATTTAGATAATCCTTAATATCGACATTTAGTCATTTTGCTTTTGAAATTAATTTTTAAAGACTTGTAATTTCATGACCAGGATGGGTCCGTACTGATAAGCACTGAACCGGACCTCTTGTCGAAGAAATCTTCCAGAATATAATTGAGGCCATTATAATAAGCAATTTTGATTTGGTACGATGAGTGTGTCATAGTAATAATTTATTATTTTATAAACAGTAGAATAAATTTATCCCTTTTAAATGGAACATCAAAGGGATTTGATGCAGATTTAGACTTGAAGTCGCATTCTCGAGGTCATCACGTCCATACATTTTCTTATCATTGATACGCTATCGACAACGGTGATTTTATATCGTATGTTTTATAAGATGCTATATTTAGACATGATACAATTCTGTCAAAATCTTTGCAATTACGCTGATGAAACAGAAAGAGAAATCGATATTGAAACGAATACATACTGGTAATAATTCAAAAGATTATTGTTGTAACAAATAAAACTGTGTGAATCTTTGAATTAAATTGCAATATCGTAGTGACGAAGTATGGTTTGCAGTTGACGCAAATAATTAATAAATAAAAAATGAATTTATTATTGCGCGTTATAAGCATTAGCAATCATTTATTTATCAAATGAGCGCAAATATTTATCTCTTTGTTCGGATTATGTATTTGTGCTATATGCTGTTGAAACCTTAGGTACGTGAGGTCCCTCCCCCCACATATCGGCATTTGTCAAGAGGACTGGTTGTTTTCTCGCTCAAAGATTAAGCATAACTATGCAACAGGAATATGTTTATAACTATACAGCAGGAAATGCCGCGTGAACTAGAATTGTTACTTTCAAGTAATTTAATCTTATCCTTTAAACGAGCAATTCTTGTATATATATATATATATATATATATATATATATATATATATATATATATAATCGGAATCTCGGAAACGGCTCAAACGATTTTCATGAAATTTAGTATGTGCGTAGATTCGGGGGAGAAAAATCGATCAGGCTAGGTTTCATTTTTAGAAAATGTCCTTTTATCTTTGTTTTCAGGGAATGAAAAATAGCATTCGAATATGACAGTAAATTTCGCCGCAAAAAAAATGTTATAATAGCTCGGTCGGTAAGCGGGCGGCCCTAAAACAGACGGCCGCGGTTCGTATCACGATCTTTACACACTTATTTTTTTTACTTTTTTTTTTCTATACCAGATCATTTTCTTTATTTTTTTATTTTTATTTCCAAAAAACATGATTTACCAAAAAAGTACATTTCTTTTCTATAAATTATGTAATAGTAGAAGTTATTGTTATTAATGATCTATATCAAGGATGACCAACGCGCGGCCCGCGGGCCGCTTGCGGCCCGTTTAACGTTTATGCGGCCCACCAAGCATTTCTAAAATTGAATTTATTTTATCGAATTTCTGCAATCAATATAGTGTTATAAAATTAATTATAATAAAATGGTAGTACATACTGAACCGTAATATTTTTTGTTCGTTTTTCTGTTCTTTTCTTGTTTGTTTTACCTTGCATTAAAATTTGTATATGAAATCTTTACTTTTTATTTTATATTTTTTATTTTTTATTCTAATATTTATTATAAATAAAGTTTCTTAAATTATTATGTGCCAAAATATTTTTAAATTGGCCCATTGATTAAAAAGGTTGCTCACCCCTGATCTACATCGTTTAAGACATGTTTAGAATGGTAAATACAGAAAGTATACTTCTATTAAAAGTACATTTAGAAGGTACATTATGTCAATATGGTTTATATTCGTTGTGCGCTTTGAGAATTACATACGTATTTGATCCAATTAATATTTAATAATTCTTCTAAAAATAGTAGTTAATTTATATAGTCTTTAATAGGTCTAATGCATGTTTATTAATATTTTTCTTATTAAAAAAATCATTTCAAGCATTGTATTCAGCAAGCAACTGGTATTCCAGAATAGGCCACCCCCGCTCTGAAACCTCGCACCCTCCTTCAGTTTATCGAAATACTAATTGCCTTCTCGTGTTCGTTTCGACATCCGAATAATAAGAAAGGTGAGGAATAGGCTTGAATTAGTTCATTATTGTCGTCAAGTCCCCAGCCGTATTTAGCAGATATCTTCATTACGGCGCGGAATGGAGTTTCACCCGAAGTTTCCACCCACCGTGACAGATTTAACGAGACCTGCCATCGACGCGAATTAATTGATACGACGGAGGCGGGGGTCCGATTTGACTTCGGTTATTGTATTTGTAATTTTTATATGAATATTTGTGCTTAAACACGATCTATGACGTCCGTAATACCCGACCGGAAAAATGTAGCAAAATATATTTACATTATCACCATAACTGTCAACCTCGCTGATAACGTGAATAGTTCCACAGTGTTATACTTCTGCGTTTCGTCTGGTGAGTGAGGTATTAAAAGGTGGAAACGCATCTGCAACCCTACGGTTGTTGAAAATTGGCGGTGGTTATCACTTAACATCTTACACCTTCTCACGTAACTCCGCACTAAGGTGAGGTAAGAGTGAGCTTGCCTAAGGAATACAGCTGCCTTTTGGAATCGACAATAGCCCGTGGCTATTCGCAAATGCCACACAATGCCTATACACTTCGCCAGCTTATGTTCCGTTTCCATGACAACGCATACGAGACAATAATTTTTTTACAGTGTCCGTTGTTTGCCCAACAGGTGGATGCTTTTGGCGCGCGCGCCCTTCTCGCCCGCACCGCGCCGCCCTGCCGCCACATAA